GACATCTGATTTCTTTTTAATTATAGAAAATGCGTTTTTCTAAAGTACATAATCTTTTGGGATTGACTGTATAGCCAATACATTCTTAAATTAGAAACAAAATTTGAATGGAAAACTTAAGACGGCAAACCGTATTTTAATTGTTTATAGAGCAAAATGTGAATTTTATGAGAATAGAAAATAAAATTTTATGAATCGTGACAAAAACTTTGTACGAGGAAACGAAGACTGTAAATGATCCATCAAACGTGTCTGTGCGCACGTGTCAACGGTTTATTTTTGAAACGAGCTACCGGAAAGATAGCAGTTAATGCTCGACCTTGTTTTTCCAAGCTAACGAGCTTAATTCGTGGCGACCGACTAAAGACACCCATTTCCAATTTACCCGAAAAAGAAATAAAAATACTAAACGAGGAATGAACCTCCAACAGCTGTTAAAGCCGAATTTTGCACGCTGCTAGAAGACTCAAGAACTGGTTCGAGGTAGGCGGTTTCGCATAACTGTGAACTGCATCTCGGTAGCTACAAGCGCAACCAAGCGTGACGTTTTGTCCCACACCTTTCTCCCGGAGGCAGGGCGATGTTAAAGGAGGGCCGGGACCCTCCTCTCCCTTCCCCGTTCAATTAATTCGTTATTACCTACCGCATGGTTGGCCCATAAGTCACGGAGGGTAATTACTAACTCGGTAATTTCACTGCTGCTCAGTTACGCTTCGGATAATGGAAAGCCTTTCGGCTTCGTAGCAGACTCCGCGATTCAATCTCGGGATTCTTTGTCCCGTTTCGACGCCTTCTTTGCCTCCTATCACCGTTTACCCAGTGCAACCGTCTCGCAACCAATTCGACGCGTCCTCTTTTTTCGCGAATTCAATATTCGTTCTTACCGGACCGACTTTCTTCTAATATAATCGCAGAGAGAGCGTTACCTGTCCTTCAACTAATGGAACCGCGATAATTATTCCGGAAAAGTAACCCGATATGTTCGATAGAACGCTGTTCGACGGTGTACGGCTAATTGAGCGGCGGTTCATCGATCATTCGAGCGGATCGACGATCAACAGACGTGAGAAAATCGAACACCGACATTTAAGTGTGTCAGCGTTACAGATGTATTACAAAGAGATCTGCCAATTGAACTATCGGAAATTAGTATAAAAAATGTTTCAATTACTTACCTCCACGTGTGCGGCGAGAATCCTGAACACGTATCCCCGCATTCCAGACAAGGCTGACCCTCCTCAACGTCCGTGATCAAGACACCCTGCAATCAGAAAAAGACGAAAATAATATGTTAAATTATCAGTATAATATAGTGAGTGAAGGAAATGAAGACATGCATCCACACTTGCGAGTCAGCAAATGGTGCTTGTAATTAAATATGCTACGAATCTTACGAGAAATTCAACACAATATTTGAAGAAAATCCTATCCATGGGTCAGGTTAATTGCAAAACGGTGAAAGGTCTGGATCATCAAATGTCAACCGCCCTAAGGCATCGCGTTCGAATAATTTGTCGATTTTAATCCGCGACACGTAATTGCTTCATTGGAAAAAAATATTGTAAGAATGAGGAGCATCGAGGAAAAGTGCGTCATCCTTTCGCGCTCCGCGTTCGTGACTCGCTTATAATTACGTGCGAAGCGGGACAAGGTCGATGAAGCCGCGATGCTTCGTCGGTCTCGTAATTGGGAAGAGTTTTTAATTGCCTCGTCTCGTTGCCTGATCACGAAGGATCTGTTCGTCGAAAAGTGTGAGAGATGCCTGGGTTTCAAGCGATTTCAACGCGTGGCCCGCCCACGTTTATCGTTCCACGACGTCGTTTGGCCGTTTCCAAACGTGTCGCGCGAAACGTTTAAGCGAGAATAAAGTGAGGCAGATGAGGATGGAAGGCTCGAGTCGCGTTGGATGCGTTCAAGAACCTTCCGGCCGGCGTATATGGTCGGTTCGCCCACGCGAAACAGGTCGCGGTACCGGCATCGCCAAATATCGAGTAGACGAGCCGTGGAAAATATACAAGAACCGACGGTGTCTCTAGCTGTCTATATATAGCGATCCTGAATAACGATCCCGAGAGAACGCTTCGTCTAATTAACATATTTTTCGTCCTGACTCACGAGTGAAAGGACCGGCCGTTTCTTTTTCCACCGCGAGTTGCCCGTACCAGCGTTACCAGCTGGAAATCACCTGAAACGGTGAACTCACGGAATGATTTATGCACTCGTTTCTTAAGTTTCATTACACGTTGCTCGCGAAAAATTCAAAATCGGTCAACCTACCAGCGGCTGCTTTCCTGAAATCTGTCACGAATATAAAAAGCTTCCAAGGCACGAAGAGAAAGTGAGGCGCCGTGGAGAGATGAAACTGGAGTTTTTGTCTGTATTATTTTTGCGTCGAATTTTGACCAGAATCATTGGGACTGTTTTTTCGAGATCCCACAAACCTGTCCGCAAACATTTTCGTCGCTGAATCAGACGATTAGATCATTTCTCATCGTGGCGAGCGAACATTTCGCGGTGGAATGCGCAAAACAAAATTCCACTGCCACCGTGCAGAATTCCTTGCCGACGTCTGCGTGTCGTCGCTATTCCACGGCTCGCTACCTTTTTCTTACGTTTATAGCTTTCCATCGCACGAGCTTTCGTCTTTAACGACGATTCTCGATTATCTCCATTGGAAACGGGGCAAATGGCTCGCGTGTCTGAACAATTTCAATGATTCTCTTTGCTCTTCGGCTTCGAAGATTCTGTTAGCGAAACAGAACCGGCAGCAGCATTGAAACTGTTTGTACATTAACGTGTCCTACACGCGCCGCGATCATTCCATTTGTGGGCGGTTCGCTGACATTTCCATGACGCGTTAGCCAACAGAATTACGTAAGGACATTGAAAACATGCGTTAAAGCCCGACTGAATGACGGACCGTTAACCCTCCGACCGACCGGCTGGATGGATAATTTGCTCGCGCGCGCCAAGAAAAAATGTGAACCGGTGTGAATTCTCGACTGACCAACTTCGACTTGACTCGAGGAAAGTAACGACTGTGAAAGTTCGCGTTTTATATTTCGCAGCGAGCGTTCATCCGTTCAAAAACAAGTAAAAACAGATAGAGAATCAATTAATGAATAGTAAAAATATAATTTAATAAGTCGATGGTTGAATAATTTTGTTTTAGTAAAATTCGTAGTTTTTATGTTGACATCGATGACAGACGTGTCGCCCAACTAGTTTCACTCTGACCATTAAAAATATTGGGATACGAGAAGACGAAGTGCATCGGGGTTGGTTTGGAATCAAAAAGTTTCACTGATCAACTAGAAATTTAATGAAAAACTTTCTACATTTACTTGATCTATATTATGCATCTGATAACTTGTATAAATATAAGCCTGCAGAGGCTGGTTATTCCCATAATTACTTTCACTTATTTCATACATGTTCATTAACCATGTTCGACGAGCTCCCGTATAAGTGTATAGATATAGAGGCGCGTGTAGTAGTGTGTACAAGAAAATATCGTGGATTATATGTACTACCGTGTAGTAATCGACGCGAACGGAATCGCGATACAAAAGCGTGGCAGGAGCAAACCGCAACTAACGTCCGATCGACGACGAGCAAATCGCGTGAAACGCGTCGAGAAAACGTTCACACCTTCTAACGATCCACCAACACACTCTGCACGTAGATGAGTTATGTTCAAAGAACGGACGATGTCGCCAAAACGATGTTAGAAAAATTAGTGAAACAATTTCTGTTGCAAAGCACCATCGAAAATCTCTCATCTTCTCCATCGATTTATAAATATCGCTTCCCGTTTCTGTACCATAAACGACTGATCGAACGCGATTGACTCATGAAAATGCCATACCCCTTCGCGATAATTCCAGACTCTTCTTGAAGGTGTAGGAACGCCGGTTACGTCCCCAGTTTTAGGACCTCTCTGTCGTCGATGATCCTCCTCGTCCTCGTCGCTGTCCTCTTCTTCCTCGTAACGCCTTCGTCTTCCCATATCTTGCGCAGGACGACGACGTCTCCTCCTTTCAACGGTCGATTCCGGGCTGGATCGAATCCTGATGATTGTTGCTCCATTTCTCTCGCTGGTCGACGTGTATTTATTGTTATCTCGATGATCTCCAGCTCCAAAATTGTACGGTTCCAGATTTGCTTTGCGTTTCGTTTCCTCAATCTCGTTCGAATGCCTCCTGTCCTTGATTTCCAGGATTTCAGGCGATGGATCGCGCTCGATCTCCGAGCGACCCTCCGGATTCGAGCGATATCTACTGTTCTCTTGAAGGTACTTGACAGCAAAGATGCGATTGCTTTCGTGCCAGGACTTCGAATCGAATTCCTCGAGGTCCTCCGGTTCGCCTCGTTTCGGCGGTGTCAACGGCCTGGAATGTCTGTTTGATCTTTTATCTACACCCTCGTGACCCCTGCTTCTAGGAGAAACACGACGTACACTCCTCGACGGGGAATCCCGATCCTTGAAAGAGTTCTTCCTCTCTATGTCGTAATCCTCGGGACTCGTCCGAGGGTCATCTTCGAAGGAAACGCTGCCGTATCTTCCATTGGGGGAATGTCTCCTCCTCGGCTCTTCTAAGTTCCGGAAGGACACCTTGCTCGATTCGTCTTGAGCTTTATGCGCGAGCCTTCGATCTATGTCATCCTCGTAAATTCCGGCGAACTCCACGGTCTTCTCCTTGAAAGAATTTTTCCGTCCCAAGTCGTAGGAATGATCCTTAAAGGCGACTCTACTGACCTCCGACTCCTGATCCTTGTACGAGTGTATCCTGCTCGAATCGGCTTCGTGTTCTTTGAAGGTGATTCTGCTGACTCCATCGGTATGTCCTTTGAACAAACGCCTCTTGTCCTCTTCATCCTCCTCGCGATTCTTCGACGAAATTCTCCCATAATCGGAGCTAGGCTCCTTGAACGAGTTCTTCCTTCCTGCATCGTGGCCTTGGTCTTTGAATGAACTCTTCCTTGAAACGTGTTCCGGGTCTCTGCCAAAGTATTTCTTCTCGACATCCTGACTCTTCTTTCTATAATCGTTCTCTTGGTCCTTCAACGACGGTTTCCTATTCAAGCTAGAATCTCTATTTCTCTTCGACTCAGATTTGAAGGAACTCTTCCTCGTCACCTGCTCCTTTAAAGAGTCCTTCCTAGCCAAATCGACGTCCGAGTCCTTCACCGAAACTCGTCTGGGCTCCGGATCTCGTCTGGGTTCTGTAAGAGCTCTCTCGTATCGCTGTATCCGCACATCGAAGTCCTCCGGGTTCCCGTCGTACACATAATTCTTTCTCTTAGGGCTGTCCTTCCTTCGAGGAACATCGTCCTCTTTTCTTGATCGTCTGTGATTTCTCTCTTCATTCTTCTTTTCTGAAAATACGTCGATGAATTTCTCTGCTCTTCGATCCATCGATCGACTTCTACCGATCTCCTGTTGCTCAGATTCCCTTAACTTAGATTTCACAATTTTTCTTTCATCCTCTCGATCATCTTTCTGGACTCTTTCTATTCGATCCTTGAATTTGTAATCTTCCATTTCTGGACTAACCGACTTACACTCCTTTCTGGCTTTCAACTTGTCCTCTTCGCGAGATTTGAGTCTCTCTATCATCGCCCTGATCCTTCGATCGGGGGATCTTCCGTCGACAGTCAGACTTTCAATTTCCTTCAGTAACTGATCTCTTTCATCGCTCTTTTGAGTATCTTCTTTAATGACGCTCTTGGATCTGTCCGATTTCAACGGAGATTTTGGTCTTTCCGAACTCTCTTTCCTCAATCTGTGCAAACCTATTTCCTGATCGATAGATCCCTTCCTCCCGTGATCGTCCTCGTAGTAACGATCATTCCCGGAGCCTGTCCTCGAACGGCCGTTCGTTAATCGAGAGTCCTCGAATCGGTCCTGTTTCTTAGATCTGAAGTCCTCGTCCTGGGCGATGTCCTTGATGTCCCAGACGCCGAAGTGGTCCTTACTCTTTTTATACAACAAGTCCGCGTCCTCGTGCTGCCTATAGTCACGACCATTTTTGCTCACCTCGTCGTCACGCTGCCTCGTCATACCAAAATGGTAACGATTCGTACCGTTCTTATACTTGTTCGAACGATCCTCTTGGTCCTCTTGGAAACGGTCGTTAGTGTACCCCAGGGCCACCTTCGGACCATCCTTGATCGACGACGGACCCCGAAGATGAGACATTTTCGCTACGCACCGTGTTTATCTACGTCTTCGCGCGTTGGAAACTTTTTCAAGGTTCCGCGTTACGGTTCTCCACGAATCCAGTTTGCCACGCGTTATTCTCGCCCGGTGACTTAATCCTTTTTATCACAAAAGCGTATAATAGAATACTGTTCACCGTATCGTTGCCTGACGGGCAAGAATTGTAGCTCGATCACATATCAACAGCGAGATCGTTTAGTCGTCGGTTCAGCGACGAATGTGACATCGGTCAAGGAACTCGACGCTCGACGCTTTCGATGGGCACGGTAAAACACGCGACGCGGTCTCTCGTCGATCTCCGATTTGCCGTCGCGTTATCGTCGGATCGACGACTGTATACTGGCTGAGGTCGGTGGACGGCACAGTTTTTCGCGGTACTGGAGCAAGTATCCTCGGATCTCCTTTCTTTCGGTGGCTCCTTATTTCGCGAGATACGAAGAAGCCGGCTTCGGCCGAACGGAGCGGAGCAGACGACCCTGAAAGTCGTCTGTGGACTTTCACGAACGCGAGCACTTTGCCGGTCGGAGTCACCACGAGAGTGTGCACCGGAGGAGAGCGTGTTCCTCCTCCTCCTCCTCCTGGTTCCCCTCGACTCTCTCTGTCCACTTCCCCACTTGCCGCCCCCTTGCATCCTCTCCTTTTGCACCGCACCGCCTGTCTGCCTCCCCTGCCTTTCCTTGCCTGGCTGTCCTCCTGAGCTGTCCTGCGGTCCTCCCCGAGGTGAGGTGGACCACACGATTCTCCCGTTAATCCGGCTCCTCTTTGCGTTCTCCTCCTCCTCCGAGTCCCCGATGCGATATACGACCGCGTGAGTTCGACCTCGCTCGAGTTCACTGGGACTCTCGTCGACACCCTTTTTCCTTTTTAATCTTCCAATTTGATTTAGAAATCAAATTGCTAGCACTGCTTCAAAGTGACACAAGTAGTACTTATCAAATTTTAAAGCAGCTCCGGACATTGTTTTCATCCAGAATTTTATGAAAAGCAGGTCGTTTCTCCGATTTCTATCTTTAGCTGATAGGAAGCGGCGAATTATAGCGAGAAGACTGGAGGTAAGTATACAATGTAATTACGCAAGGGGTACAATTACTCTCCTGTCGAAGAGTCGAGCAGCTCGAGTCCTGTCCCATTCGCGAGAATGTAATTATAGTCGTCTCGTCGAAAGCGTCGTCGCCACCAATCGAATCGTTCTCTCAGCCAGACTCGTTCGAGCACTTTTCGTGCTCGTTTTCCTCTATCCGAGGAAGAGGTCTCGCAATAAGCTGGAAAATGCTGATTAGTAGCGTGTAATTTCCAATGACTACGCATCGTGATTCAATGAGACTTTAACAGCTTGATGGCTCGGCGAAGGAAAAACAGCGGCTACCCGATATAAAAAGACAAAAGTGTCTGTTCATTTGCCAGGCAAATGGTAGAATTCAAAATTGGAGAAAATCGTAAAACGAGTTATGCAGGTATCTAGACTTGACTCATCGAGTTGGGTGACGAAGTGGTCAGAATAAAAAGAAAACCAAGGCAAAGAAGACAAGGATCCCGGGAAAAAAAGAGCTAAGGAGCGGTCAGATTCTTCTTCAAAAAATTTGCTGTGTCGTCACCCGGGTAGCGAACCTGTTCAATGATTCACAGGTTACGAAGTCCCCAAAAGTTGCCCTGGTCATTCGCGAAAGCGACACCGACGAATCGGTCGAGCAAACCAATAAAACAAAATCATTCACGCTTAATAAATTTGGACACGGGATCCCGTGAGCTGTTCGTTCGAGCGAGAAATATGTCGAACCCTAGTTAATGAGACAAGATAATTTCGTTTAATCCCGTCTTCGTTCAGTTCAGGTTTGGAACAATGCCCGGCTTGGAAGGGTGAAATATCGGTCCGCAAGCATCCACCGATTATCCATTCTCGGCGTTATACGTAATTCACAACGAGGCTAGGATTTATTGCGCGTGGGCGGCGGTTATAAATTGACATAGACAGATAATTTTCGACCCGCGCGCGCCAGCTCAAAGGGCTTTCGCGTACGGAGCTACGTATCTCGTTAATCGTGTACTGACTACCCTAAGTGGGCTTTCACTGTTACGCCACGCGGCCGCTGAACAATCGCCCGTGGCTCGCGTATATCGCGTTCCTCTCGTTTAGGAGAGATAACTTATGGCGACGCGATGATATCTTGATCCGATTTACTGTGTATGGAGAATCAAACGCGTCGCATACAAAAGATTATTCGCATATCTTCAAAATAAAACAGTCCAAGATTCGTAACAGAAGCACAGCGTTAAATTATAGAGATTGCATAAATTATATTATTTGTAATTAAAATAATACTAATAAAATTAAATATATTAATAGCAAAAGTAAAATTGTTTTGAAAAGATGTCTCCCAACATTCGACATTCGGGGACCACCTGACAGAACTTGCTTCGTATCGAAACCCTCGTCGAACGGACGAGCAGGTGGCCGAACAGAAGGCTGCACCCTACATCCTGCCCTAACCAGAGACACGATGACAACTTTTACAATTCGAAAGACCGTCCATCTACGGATAAGGAGACCGCCTCGTGTCGCGGTTCTGAGTAATACTAAACGACCGTTTAACGGATTTTCGCACCGTAAGCGCGTACAATGAAGTTCCGCTTTGCGGTCTACTCATCTCTAATTGATCGACAAGCGTACTTAGAATCGAGTGTTACTTTCTCGTTGCTAGACTGCGGATTTTATGCATGTACACAAAAATTTGATACACAAGAAATATAAATAATACATGAAATATATAAAAATATGAATTATAAACATACATAATTACACATTATTTTAAGTTTAAAGCATAAAGTTTAATTTTGCATAAAAAAATGCAATGAGCCAAGAGAAAGAGAGAGTGGAAAAAGGCAATGCATACACAGCAGTTATGTAGGCTATAGGCAGTATAGGCAATGCTCGCGTTCACGAACGCGTAAATGCGAAATCAAGGCCGTCGCTTTATGCATCTTCTTCGATGGCCAACGGAAACGACTGTACGTACCCACGCCTCCACTCCTGCTTCAACCTACGCGTGATCCTTTGAAAAAGTCGGTCGAAGATCGATAATTAAATATCCTTGCCTCCGCGAGACTGCGGCAGGAACGTATCGTTCGAGCCCGATAAAAACTGACATTGAAAAAGCAGTGAGTGATATTAACCTTCCATTTTTTAATTCGTTCGCCTTGTCTTATTCAGATGTGACTAAGATTCGTGCGATGTTAGAAATTTTTGTTGGGACAAAACGTCGAACAGAAGAGAAGTTTTTCGTGGAACTCTCGCAGGCTACAGCCCTGTGTGTGGGACGCGACAAGGTCCTGTCACAACGCCCCCGCCGTTTCGCCGTGCAAAGGTCTAACCGCACGGTGAACGGGGCCTTACGGCGCGCAGTATCGACCTTTTCGCCCGAAATGGTCTCGGCCGAGGGTCTCGATATCCGTCGAATCGACGACGGTTCACTCTCCGATTATTTGTGTCACGAAGAATGTCGACAGGTATAACTCGCCCCAACGATTTTCGTCTTCAAGTCTTCGTTACTTCGCAAGTCAAGTAAACTGGACTATAAAACTCTTACGATTTACACTTTTTTTTTTCTTACTTTAACAGAACCGATATAATCTAACTCTTGTTAGATAAATGGGATATAAAACATGAAAATGAGCTGCAACGTGACTCGGTGCAAATGAAAAACAAGTTTAATACGGGATACGGGTACTAAATAGTCTGCGACGTAACACAGTGCGCATATTCTTGTCGAACAATCGAATGCTTAAACCATGCCGTCCGTACGTTCCTCTGTTAAATTAATAAATGCGATGCAATCGTAAATGCGAGCGATTTCTCGAATCCTACGCCCAACTGATCGACTAGCCTAGACCCAATTGTACTATAAACAGAATGAAACCTACAGTCGATTGACATTCTAATCTTGTATTCGTTAATATCATATAAGTAGACCGTAGATTTGAAGTATAAAGAATGCGTGCAGTGTATAAAAAAAATATGCAATATCAAAAGCTGCGTCGATGTCACAATACTTAAATAATAGAAGAAATTTCTATCTATTGATAAGAGAAGTATTATTTCGCATAAAACTGTACATAAGATTCTCTGCATTCTCAATAGCTATAGTTTCCACATTTTTCTTTCGTTACGGACAATTAATCACTTAACTACGTGACGCATTACAAAACTATCCAAAGTATTCTGCAGCGATTGACCAACGCAGACTCTAATTCTAATTGGATTTTTAACTATGATACTCTTAAGCATGTAGCGGTGCGTGTCTCAATTGTTCAGCGACGAAAAACGCCGTGTGAGTCATTCGTACCCTGGCGTTCTTGTTCCGTTGAACACTGAGGCGATATTAAAGAGTGGCAGCGCCCGTGTAATCGTTCGGACAGCGAATGCGGCCCAATGGGGCTCAAACACAGTCAGTAATCGCTTTTTCCTGTGGTAATCGAGAAAGTCGATAAATCGCTATAACGGCGTACGGACAAGTTTGACGCGATAGGCAATAGATAAAGGGGTAGGATGCCAGCATTATCGATTTTATACCGGCTGCGAAATTACTGCTGAAAAGTATAATAACTACCGTTTTACTCACTTCTTGTCTTATTTTCCCTATTGTACATATATACTATTTTGCTCGCGTCTTAGTATACCCGCACCGCGAATAGTAGTTTACCAGCCGGATACCGGAGGGGGAAAAGAGTTGGGGTCTTGTATCTTTGTTGGGGCAATGGGGATTATCGAACGTAGTCACCTCCACGTGGTGAGATCTTGGTTGATAGCGTTTGCAAAATCTTTGGAAACGGTACCAAGTGAAGAACTACGATATTGTTTAAGAATCTCTGTATTTGTATGTTAAATTGCGTAAAAAATTGCAAACTTTTTCATACGACATAGAGGCTGCCACTCTTTAGTAATATCTCCTCGGTGCATTGGAGAACACTGAACCGTAGTATAAGTACAAGATCTAGAG